GAAAAAAAAATTATAATAATAAATAAAATAAAGAAAAGATCAATGAATAACAAATAAAAAATCCTGTATAATTCATTAGGTTGACAGGGGAGAGGTCATTCTTCCCATACTGATCCATGTTCATGGCCTTCTCTTTGAGCAAGTCTGCATATGGACACTGCTTTTGAGGAGAGTATCTGCACAAGTACCTGTTGAAACAGAGAATACAGAACAAAGAGAGTTTGAGCTTCAAAGTTTGAACCTGGGGGACACTGCTGCTTCGTCTTTGTGACGTGAGGTGACAGGTTAACTTACAATACGGACCTGTGTCTGTATAAATAGAATGAATGGAAAAAGAAATTCTACAAAAAAATAACCTGCTTAATTGGTCATCCCGTTCTCATTCTACCAAAATTGTGTTCTGTGGGCTACAAATCAGAAGATTAAAGCTGTCAAAGAAATTATTGCATTAGTTGTCAATTTAACAAACGAAAAAATCAACAGGCATTTGATCCACCCACAATACCTTACTCCTGATTGTAGCAGGCCGCGGAGGACACAAGCGACTCCCTACTTATCAATTATGGTTACCTGGCTAAAAGTTGGCTTGTTATGCAACCGTGAACATCTTTCTCCATGGCGGCATGCGCCAATCTTGAAGTAAAAAGAGCAGTTTACTCTGGAATATAAAGAATACAGTTGTAGGACACTAGCCTGGAAAGTTTTAAACCTTTTTTTATGTAGGGAGTCTACATGTCGTAACCCTGTGCATCGTGTGCACGATCTTGAGTGTGAGTTTACCTGACTGAAGGTTGGCTTGTTGTGTAACCTGGAACACCTTTCGCCGTGCTTGCATGCGCCTATCTTGAAGTAAAACGAGCAGTTTACTCTACAAAATAATATTAAACTTTCAGTGATGATGTAGTCCACAGGACATAACATGTAAAAATTGAGCTAAATCAATAACTACAGAAATCGAAAAAGACACTGCTCTTTTTTTTTTTCTTTTAAAATTCTTAACTTGAGATTACATCTAAACCAGAACTTTAAGACAACAAAAGTTGATATATAGTTTTTAAACATGAAATGTACAACTTTACTGCTTCAAAATCAACATTATTTTTGTTTTCACTAAAATGTGTATTTTGGAGTGTATCTTACCATTTTGGTGACTATCTTTAACATGGAAATTATATTCAAAACAAATTACTTTTATAAGAGGTACTCAAAATGTGAAAGGTTATCAAATTTACTGCTTTATTAATGTCTGACAGGTTCTTCTTTAAAAAAAAAAAACATTCTTGAATAGAATAAAATCACCCAACTAAATGTTTGATAATTGATAACTAACACATCAGCTATATATCTCTGCCTCATTTTTTGCAATGGAGAAAAAATGTTAGAGCAAAAATGTAAATTTGTTTTGTAACTTCTCCTAAAAAGAGAACTACACTTCCTGTTCAAAGAATGGACAATGAACACATCTCTGCCGAGCAGCAAAATCGATAACCGATACATTTTTCATCATTACAAAGCTTCATTATAACAAGTGCAAGGTCCAACACTATCGGGCTTTTAAGTCAAACACAAGCGTCTCCTTTTACAAATATTTGAAAATAAAGAAAACAATTAACTCTAACCATTCTGAAATACTCGTTACACTGACATCAAGCAAAATTTCTCATACGAAAACCATGCCTTCTCCTTTGTGACCGACAAGTCGGCACAGGTAAAGGATAATTTCTACCAAAAATAAAGGTATTGCATAAGGCGACTTCTATTGCATTTAATGCTTTAAATTCTTAAGTGTCTATAATCTGTCTCTTTGTCATCCAAGGATACCAAGCATGCCACTTACTTGTCTTTTTCTGTGCCGAAAATCGAAGCAAGGTATTCCGCCATTTTACCAAGCTTCTAATACAATTCTCGCTTTTTCTCGTTGAAATCAAAGCCATCATGAAGATTTAAAAAATCAAGAAATACTGTAAAAATATTTAATTACAGATTTTTTCTGCATTTCGATCTTAAATTATTACATTACATAAGTTCGTTTATTTTCGTTAAAATTGTCATGGGTAAGCAAAATTTGATGACGTACTTCACACTACACACGGAAGCACAAGGTGGAAGTGTTAGTCAGGCTTCTTAAACTTTACTTATCGATAAAACTGTTCGTAGAAACTATTAAAAGCCACGTTCAATTCCAAGTAGAAGTCCAGTAAGGTAGGATACCTTGTAAGGTTTGTTAAAATAGCTGAGCACTAAGCGGACTTATTGGTGGAAATCAAATTATACTTCATGAAAGACATTTTGTGAGACTGAGACCGTTGTATTTTTTAATTACTTCCTCTAAGTTTCTAATACTGTCCACGAAAATTTCATGCTTCGTCTATGTTAATTTTCATCTTCGTGTTAAGTTGTTTATTAGATGACATTAATACTCATTGTGTTACAAATCGAGGCTTCATGCATATAATATTAATGTTATTTCATTATCCTAGGGAAATATGGATCTCCAGAAAATGAAGGTAGAGGACAAAGTGGAGCTTTGCAAAAAATACTTCTATGGTAAGACGACAAGACCTATCCCAAATCAGAGACTCTCTCTCTCGAATACAACCATTAAAGTATAGAATGATATCACAGTGGAATATTACTAGTATTTTAAATATGGATTGGGGTCAGAATGAAAGTTTTTAATCAGTTAGGCTGTATTCCGAGAGCTTTTAGATCGATCTATCGCTGCGGGGAGTCTCACTAGATTATTGTCAGATAATCCGGCTTAAATGTTCGTCCCGCCTACTACAAGCTGTAAGGGGGTAATTAACTTTCGTGTCCGCTCGGCTGACAGCTATTTAGCGTGAACCCCCAGGGAGTTAGGTCGATCTAAATTAGATCGATCTAATCTCTGGAAATGGGGTCTTAGACTAAAGAGATAAGCCAGAGAAAATGGTTTATGTTACTTAAATTCATTTTGAAGATGGTAGTCATAATCTATAATATAGATATTAATCATTGGTTAGTAAAACATTCACTTATAAATCTTGATATTTTACATAGATCTCTAATTAAAGACCCTTTTATTTATTTTGTCATGTAAATGTATGTTGTAGACCATGGTATATGAATATAAATTTATGTTATTGTGTTGCAGGTGGTTTTGCACTCCTTCCTTTCTTGTGGGTGGTCAATTTTGTGTGGTTTTTCAAAGAGGCCTTTATCAAACAACACTATGAACAGCAGCAACAGATTAGATCATGTAAGCATATTCCTTCTCTCCCTCTCCCCCCCCCTCTCCCCTCCCCCCCTCTCTCTCTCTCTCTCTCTCTCTCTCTCACACACACACACACACACACACACACTTCAATACATTTGGACTCTCAAATAGCTAACATAGTTACTCAAGTAAATGTCCTCTGTCACTCATGCATATTATTGTCATTATTTTCTTCCTTGTTATTTCAGACGTAATAAAGTCATTAATAGGAGCAATAATATGGACAGCTATCTTCATTACCTGGGTGACATTGTTTCAGCTATACAGAGCTAGCTGGGGAGCCACAGCTGACTACATATCATTTATAATACCAAGAGGAATAGCCTAAATATCACAATAAGATGACTCCATTCATAATATATTGGGTACTTAAATACAACTTTTTGAGAAGTTTCTATACTTCTACTGAGGTGGATCACACCCACAAGTCGGTACCTGATAACAGCTTTGTGCTGCTGCAAACAAAGGAACAATGACTCCATCTTGGGTCACAAAACAGAGCTGGTTCTGTTTACTTAACTTCAAAGTTGTCCCATGTACAATTGGCCCAAAGTCCCCTCTGCTGGTGCGGAGGACAAATCATATGCTGTGAAATAATGAGAACATCATCTATAGTATCTAAGCTTTGTGTTCACACTACAGTATTGGAATGTTGGAAAAGATTAAGGGATCCATACACTGTATATGTGGTACGGCATAAAAAAATTACCATAGGGGTTAAAGGTTGAATGTGTTTCAGTTCAGTGTATCAGTTAACCCCTTCACCGTACATGACCTACATGTAGAGTGTTCAAGTTTCTGACACTGAATTTTGAACCTTCTTCAAAACATTGATTTAGAACATATTATAGAATATTTATACATGAATATGTGTGTGTGCGTGTATGTAATTTTGTCAGTGAATTTTCAATAAACATTAATGATCTTTAGAGAAAAATGGCAGTTTTCTGATGAAATAATTAATGTCATCTTCTTTTCTGATGAAATTATCAATGTCACCTGTACTCTGTGTTGAAGATGAAAATGATAATTCCACATTTTAAAGACCACCCATAGATAATGTTACAGTCATGTTCTTGAATACCTTGAATATCTCACAACAAACACAATGTGGGACTAAATAAACATTTACTATATTACTGTTTTATATGTTTGTATAAATTATCATGGAGTTATATTTGGTATACACCACCACAGAATCGGAATCTGAGTAAATTTCTTCAACAAATAAAATAACAGATATAGTCTAATAAAAGTTTTATTCACATCCTTGTGCAACACGTCTCATCTTGTCTGACTCAATCGTATTTCATTGTACGCACAAAAAAAAAATAACCAAAAAATATTTTGATGAGAAGTGAGTTAAACGAATGGTCAGACTTCACATAAACTTTTTATCACAATTACAAATATAAGTTTCAAGTACAATTTTTTACATATATATTAAGACAACTTACAGCTGTTTTAACCTATTTGACAAACGTTCCAGCATGTTTTTTTTCTATGTCGAATTAAGTAAAGTCAAAACTGAAATAATATTAACAAAGTATAAATCATCGCTACTAGCATTAACTTTTAATGTAGCTTCTTCTTCCATGTTTGTTAGTGTACAGGTTTCTAGACGGCCATACAAACGATTCTCCAGTCTCTGTGCTCGTTCCCATCCGAGAGCCTCGGTACGCCATACTAAAACGTGAAAGAATTTAGAATATAGTACCACAGTGACATCAGCAGGGACTAAAAACAAGAGCCCTTAAGCTTTCTACTTTGATCCCGTGCGGTCTCAATACCTCTATCGACGCTCGTTGACGATCACTTTTAAAAATGCTTGTCGAAATTTTATTTCTTTTTTCATTTGAGAACCTGTTCTTATTCCTACATGTTTTTTCTCGTTTTTCAAATGATGGATAAAAATTTAAGCTAAGGCTGCTTATGTTGACTACGTTATAACCGTACCTCAACCCAACGCTGTCTTGCTCAATCATCTTTTTACGCACGTATCTCGGAACAAGGAAATAGGAAATCTTGGACGGCATCTTTAGCATGGCTAACGGGTTACTGTAGTCTATCATGGAGCGAGTCAACATTTTTCGCGGTCTACCGATCTACAAGAAAAAATGACATAATGATCGTGAAGGTTTAAGATTGAAGGTTTAAGATCAAGTGCCACTTAATACAGAATTCTAACTTATCTTTAACCCGAGTTTTCAAAAAGAACTAGACAACAATATTTTACTTTGAATTTTGAAAGTATATGGGAACCGTGTCGCATATATAATCTGTGGACTCTGATACTACAGAACAGAAGAAATGTCTTCCCTCTCTGTCACAACTAGACGAGCTTCTTAAGTATAGATATTAATATCTTTTAATTTAAAAGTAAAATGGCTGAAAGAGAGTATAGATCCATTCAAATTACACGTAACAAATGAGCATAGAAAAAATTACACAAAAAAAATCACATGAAAAGATTAAAAAAATAAGTAAAGACAAACATACAAATAAATATAAATTTTAAGAAAGAAATCTACCATGCTAGCCCCGACATAATCACTGGTATTTATGTATCTTATCTCCTTAAGATTTTGAACCCTGTCTTCATAGATGTTCCTCGCCACCTCAGGCCCGAAATATGAATACGTATCTTTATGAAGTGACAGGTGACGACAGCGGTTGTCACAGTTTTCACGGTCTGTCGCAGTTGGTATTACCTGCAAAATTAATTACAATTAAGCAAAGATAAGTAGTTTTTTTGTTATTTGTTTGGTTTCTAGGGAGTTTCAAAAGCGATGCACATGCACATCCTGTACCCAATACATAGCCTACGTGTGCTTTTATTGTTTTTCTATATTAACCCTAACTGGTGATCACCTCTGTGAACCTGATATAGACCCATGTATATACTTACCATGAAACAATTCAGACAACATTAAAACTGACTGAAAAAGGTAATCTTGACAAAATTTAATAGTTCAAATATCTTTATCAAGTTATCGTCGAATTTTCCCTTTTTTTTTTTTTTTTTTTTTTTTTGCTACCAACGTAAAAATCTGTAGGTTTTTCTAACAAACACCCAAATAGACTTTTAATACGTCGATTTTAATAAATAAATAAATAAATAAATAAATAAATAAATAAATAAATAAATAAATAAATAAATATTGATATATTTTATAAGAGTAAATGATCACGAACATTAGCAATAATTAAAGAACAAATTCAAATATGTGGAAAAGAAAATTCACCTGTGCAGGAGATGGCGGTGGACAGTATCGCGTTGGTCTGTAGTTAGCTGGACAAGACATGTAGTCATGCTTGTACGATGTGTAAGGCTTGAAATAGTCATTGCCAAATGTCACACCGCTACTCAGTTGCATAGCTTTCTTATTGCTGTGTTTGGTGGCCATTTCTCTCTTGTCCAAGCAGTTGCAACTATGGAGACATGAAGTGCTATCAATTGTATTATTACGTCACAGTGGGTTTCGAGGTGACCTCAGTTATGCGCTTTTGATTGTGACGTCAAATCTGAATAGCGATATTATTGGTCTTTTTTCATGGTCTCCCCCCCCCCCCCTCCCTCTTAACATCAAGCAACCTAGTTTAATTTTGGTTTAATGAACGTTTATTAAAATTATTGTCCCTGACAGCATGTGACGAAAAGAGGGAATAACTTCATATTCTTTATAATTCGAAAATATTCATTGCAATGCCATAAAAAAGTATTAATGAAAGAAAGAAAATGCCAAGAGGGAATGTGACAGTTGAGACAAAAAAACTGCGTGAGCAATGAATGGGTTGAGACGAGAGGATCGCATTCCATGCTTTGTTCCTTGTGGTTTCTTTTTGAATCTCAAAATTGAGCTTTTACAAATAGCAACGTAGAAATTGATACATTTTCGTAACATTTATCATAGAAATAATGATGTTACCAATCTAATACTTTTTTATCATGTTCTTTCCTTTTTATGAGTTGGTATTCAAATTAAGGAACTAGTCACACTGTTACTACTTCCGCCATTTTCAAACAAGTACGCAGCATTTTGTGGGAACTCGTCAATAATATCAATTCGTATGAGCAAACTGCCACAGAGATGTGATATTTGATAAGGTGAGATAAATAGTGGTTACTTCTTTTATAACTGTAATGGCAGTACTTGTAGAAACTTTCAGATATGTTGAAAACATTGCAACGTCCATAGTAACTTTATCAGTTCTCTTGACCACTGACTGCAATGTATGGGCGGCGGTTTATACAAAAATGCAAAACACGATTAGTCGTCATCGTTATCAGATCAGAAGGCAAAATACGACTAGTAGTCGTCAAAACGCAACTAGTCATCAAAACGCAACTAGTCATCATCAAAACGCAACTTGTCATCATCAAAACGCAACTAGTCATCATCAAAACGCAACTTGTCATCAAAACGCGATTTGACGCCAGATGGCGCCCATTGTACGAAAATCTAGGCCAAGTCACATGATCCACAGTGATCAAAATGGCGGACGTTATTGAAGCAGCATTATCATATTCCTCGCTCGAACTCGAGAATTATCTCTACGCGTACAATCTAATAATGATATTATATATATAATAATATCTGGAACTTGTGAAATGAGTACAACAATAAAGCAGTGCTTCACAAGTGTGTGTTTTTGTTTTTTTTT